TAGATTAATGTCTAACAAACTGAGTAATAACACTAAATAGTACAACAAAAGACCTAAATGATGAAATAAAACAGATAGAAGAAGCGTTGGTATCAAATAACTATCCTATAAAATTCATTAGGAAGATCAGAAAAGGCCAAAAGCAAAATAAAAATAATTGTGAAACTAGTAATGATAACATAAATAAGAGAGAATATAAGTCATTTACTGTTATTCCATAAAGGGAGGGGACATCGGAGACCCTACGTAGGATTCTTAATAAAGCAGGAATTAGAGTGGCATTCAAAGCTACAAATTCACTCAGGCAGGACAAGCTCTGTAAGCTGAAAGAACCCCGTGGGTTGACCCAATTAGACGAAATAATATAATTTACAAAATACCTTGCAATGACTGTGAGTTAGGTCAACTATATAGGCCAAACTAGTAGGTCGGGGTTGTCAGATTGTCGGAACACAAGAATTTAGTGAAGGTTAGAATGGTCGACCCCGCGAAGATAAGTAATTTGGAAAAACTCAGCAACTGGACTGCATACATTAACACACAACCACACAATAGGGTGGGACAGAGTTAAAGTTCTAAAAAGTAATCTAGGTAGGTGGAGAGCGACAGAGGTTGATTACTGAATCCTTGTTTATCGAATAATCTATACCCAACACTTGCAATTGGGAATGACTCATGACTCATTCCACCGGAAATATGGAAAAAATACTACTACCAATCAAATCAAGCGATGGAAAATAATGGAAATATATAGATGAAGTTAGAAAGTTGTGTCAGCCGTGGCTTGATATGATTATGAGCTGCAGTAATAAAATTGGGGTGCTGGAAACGTCGGTATCATTAAATATTACTGTATAACACTCTGTGAGACTTTATCAGAATACATTTTAACCATAATTGAATTATACTCCACCTTAGTGCACAAGTTTTACTCTTATATCTCATGATAGTTTTCAAGAGAGACTGAATTTGGTTGGAGACAATTCAGTGGTTCCTACCCACATCAACTAGTAGGGGTTGTTGGCCTGATCAAAGTTATCTAGACAACGGATGCCCATTTCTTTCGTTTTGCCACGAGGTCATCAGTAGTGCACCTGGTTTGACTTAGATCACAGAGCCAAATCAGTTCAGACTACCCGACTTCTGTCTAAATATTTGGGTCAACTGATGACACGCTAAATCATATCGTAAGTTGGATTCACAGTTGATGAGCTCTTCCATCAAATGAGAGAAACGACTGTTCAGTGTTTCAGTTACTCCCATCTGGTTGGTGTGAGTAGTATATGACTACTCATGCTTAGTCAGTCAGCAGTATCACAGACAAAAAGTACAAGTATTTAACGATGGCAGCGATGAGACTGATGAAGATCTCAGGATAACATAAATATTTTAAACAGATTACCGTCATTCGATAAGATTTCATCTATATCTAAAGCTGCGTATATTTGATTAAAGCTTGTGGAAGATCTAACTGAGAAGAACATTGGTAAATGCTACTGACCTATTGATGATGGACTCACGCCATTATTGCAAAAGGTTTGGAAGGAAGGGAAATTGTGTACTGATTGGCTAACGTGTCAAGCTATCAAAGAAGGGCGACACAGGCCTCGGCAAAATCTGGCGTGGGATAATGCTCTTGTCCACGCCAAGTAAAAATAATTAGTTGCGTCATCGGGGAGAGAATAAAAGATGCACTAGATGCAGAACTCTGGCAGCCCACCGGAACAAGCTGGGCTCAGGAAAGGTAAATCATGTGATGAATAAATTGCAACTCTACGCATCATCATCATCACGGGAGAAAGCACAGAATGGAAGTCAACCATCACTATCTGCCTCAACTTCATTGACTTTAACAAAGCCTTTGACAAAGTTGACCGAGAAGTAATTTGTAAATTACTTCAAAACTGTGCCGTGCAGTGCCCCAAATCCTCATCACCCTGAGTCAAAAGCCGGCTATATGACAATACCTGCAACGTGTCAGGTGATCAACGAAAGAAAACTCAGCGAAGCCTGGCTTCGAAGTGAATACGGGAGTAAAACAGGGTTGACTGACTGCCTGTTATCATTGACGATGACATTCCCAATTGTGATTGATTGGATCATACGTCAGACTGTGCGTCGCATACAAAAACTCGAAGAATTGCAGGCAGGCGGAAACCAACAAACTGTTTGGAGAAGCAGTGCATCGAAGACAGGATTGAATTCGACTGAACATAATGAAGACGTTAGTGATGAAGATAACCAACCAATAGCAACGGCAACAGCGACAACAACAACACCATCAATCACCGTCAACTGGAGAAATCTGATACAGGTCACTTCCTTCACTTATCTTCCCGGGAAGCATGGTTTCAACCACGGGCAGGCAGTCGGACAGCACGGATGAATATGTCAAAGACAGTAAGACAGTGTCGGAAAGGCAGGATGCGCCTTCATCAGCCTGAAACCAGTTTGACAATCTTCTGCTTCACTCAACCAGCCAGCATGTAAAAAAATATTCGTATTCTGTTCAACACAAATGTGAATTCAGCCGATCAGTTCTTCTGCAGGGGTCAGTAGGTTGGCGCAAACGTCCCGGAAAGCATTTTCAACTGGTAGTTGCAGACTTTTATCAACAACTGCCTTCACTGACTCTAAATTGAAGACCAGATGGTCGGCAAGAGGGAATTAGCGACAGAAAAGTCACAATGGGGAGGGACGAGTGGGTGGTCAGTGCAATGGTGACATGGAGGGGATTGTGTGTTGAGGAGGAGGGGGAGATGAGAGATTATAGTCAATCGTGGGTAAAGCCAGCTGATGAGGGGGGAGAAAATAGGAGAGGGTGGAGATGTGTTTTTGAAGCTGTATGTTCCACTCGAATCCCAAGGGAATATTAAATAATAAATACAGTATGCAAGTTTCACAAATATATTCACAATCCTTATAAAACGACATCTTATAGCCTTGGAGAGAACCACTCTCTCTTATATCCACTGTTGTTCAATTTATTTTATAAATAATCGATTACAGGATCTCAAAGTAGAAGGTACAAGATATAAGGAATCATTGAGCAGCGACCTAATAATCAAAGTTACAAAATGACACATGACATTTTGATTTGTTGGAGGATATCATCAAGAGCTGATTCCAGTTACAGAACCATTGGAAAACCTGGGAGTACTGGACATCTGTTTCCTCCTAGTTTGAGACTCTTCACTGGTACTCACCCACCGGGGTTCGAACCCAGGACCTTCTGCATACAAGGCAAGTTAGCAAGCTCGTAAACCATTTGCTGACAAGTGCCGATTAGCACGGAACCTGGGTCAGGTTGGGATTCCTGTGGCCGATTGCCTGCAACCACATCCACATGTGTCCCTAGACGCTTGTAGCAAACATAAAGACTCAATCATTTCACGAGAACTAATCAATCTTATTTTACTACCAATCACAACCTTATTCCTATATCAATTCACTTATAAAATTTAACTTTTAAGCGCTTGTTTTCTTTAAAAAAAATTGTTTCAAGTTATCATGAAAAGGAAGCTACTTCGAGCAGCAGGTAAACTGACCTATTACAAGGAACGTGTCACTGTTCTACAAGATCAACTGATCCATCAGAAAAAAAATGAAGAAAAATTGATCCGAGTAAGAAGAGTTAATCATTTTTTAATTTTTTTTATCTTGATCAATGGTTTGAACTACATTTCCTCTCAACTTTATGTACAACAGGATCTGCTCGGTCTCAGGTTGACATGTCGACTCACTCTTAAACAGATACTTCGACGATGTTTGGTCATATGACTTGAAGTCACTTGGTGGATGGTGGTTGACCAGTAGTAGAATCCAAAAGGATAAAGCACATTTCGTCCTACTTGGGACTGGCTCGTCAGTCAGTGGATGTACTTGTATTCCTCAGTGAGTTAGTGATGGTGGTGACATGTCAACCTGAGATTGAGCATTTTAGTCCAATCAATCGACGGGAAAATCTAAAATTCAACTGAATAATTAATAAGAAACGTTGCACAAGCGGTGGTGGCCCTCGTGGTCCAAGTGGCCTAGAGGATAACACTTCTGGGCTTGAAACTATGGGCACTGGGTTCGAGCCTCGGTGGGGACATCATCACTCACTGGGAAATGCAGGCACATCCAGATGACAAGTCCTAAATAGGATGAAATGCGCTTTATCCTGGATTCTGCTGCTAGTCACCACCCACCACTTGATGCAGGTCTTCTGCTATGTAAACGGTGATTGTCATTTTCAAGGGTTACTTTGCGGGGATTCTATTTGTTTACCAAGCTTGATCACGGACTGATATCAGTAAGAGAACCACTCTGAAAACCAGCGTGTACTGGATAGCTGTTTCTTCAGCCGTGTTTGAGCCTAATCGGTAGTATGCACCTGTAGTCCTACAGAATTGGAACCACTTTCCTGTCAGAATTAGTTTTCATAAATGGTTAGAGACAGTTCTCCAGGTAACATTGGATTACATTCCTGAAATATTTCTGAGCACCTATGTAGTCAAAAAAGCAAGAACAACAGTGGTTTGTGCAGAATAATATGGTACCATCATTTATTTCGTCGGCTTCTCATCAGCTGCTTACAGCCTAAATAAATTGTGAGGTTTACGTACAGAAAAGTTTTAACATACTTGCAAATTTTACATGTTGTCAGTTGACAGAAAGTTCCACAATTAGTGAAAAGTGCTCAGAAAATTGTGCTTATATAGTTTTTACACAGGCAGTTCAAGTCAAAATAAATGTATGCATACAATGGTAAAGGAGTTACGTAATAAAGACGAGAGGTGAGTAAGATGATGAGTAACTAATAAATTAGGTAACGATGTACTGAGTTCAAATCACGTCACAGAAACAAGAGAAAAGCAGAATTACAGATTATAAAATAAAAGGAGGGGTGAGGTTAAAGACAAAGATTACGTAATCAGAGTAGAGAGTCAAAAAAATGATACTGAAACAAAGAAATACACAATAATAAAGTAAGATTTAGTAGATTCATCAAATTTTGAAGGAACATGCCAGCTGAATACTTTACACACAATGTAATATTTGAATTAAACAAGAACAACAGTGGTTTGTGCAGAATAATATGGTACCAGCAATTTTTGTTTCGTTGCCTTCTCATCAGCTGCTCACAGCCTAAATAAATTATGAGGTTTATGTACAGAAACGTTTTAATATACATGCAAATTTTGCATGATTACGTTTATATAGTTTTTGCACAGGGAGTTCAGTTTTGAACAAAGCAAATGTATGCATATAATGGGAGAGGAGTTACGTGTTAAAGACATGAGGTGAGTAAGATGCTGAGTGACTCATAAATTAGGTAACAATGTACTGAGTTCAACTCAAGTCATAGAAACAAGAGACAAGCAAAATCACACTATGTCAGGGGGATGAGGTTAAAGCCAAAGATTACGTAACAAAGTGGAAGAGAGAATGAAGACATCCAGTTACCATGGCAAGGAAAGACTAATAACTGTTTCTTTCTGAGCACATAAATCTGGTTTCAATCGTTTGATAGAAATCGCTTCGGCAAACTTGAGGAGAATCTAGCTCCTTTTGTCTGTTGATAATTTTAAATGATTTCTTGATTTCCACCTCATCACTCTTATCGCGGAGATGTCTGGTGATAGCACTATTATAAGAGTTTGTTCCCTTAAGATGTAGGCTTTTCGACACATGTTCAGAAAATCGAAGGTGTGCCCTTCTTTCTGTTCTGTAATATGTATATATTAGGGGAATCTCAAATAGAAATATATGACTGGTAAGCAGATTATATGATTTTGACTGGACACTGGATAGTAACTAGTATAATGTCTCTAGTCTCCCTATCTTTGGTGCAGACTGAATTCTATCAGTCAAGTTTTCAATGTGACCACCATGCCACTAGATGGTTCGCCATCACGGTGCCCTGTGAATTGTTGGTATTAGAAGGTTGGAGGCAATCGGCAACAGGAAACCCAGCCTGATCTAGTTTTCGTGTTAGTTGGTACTCACCAGTCAGCACGGTGTATCTCCAACCACCTTGATGGAATTCTTGTCCGTTCTGACATGCGAATTCGCGTCACCCTGTACATTGTAAATTCGATTGATAGAATTTTTAAAAGAAAAGAAGGCGTTCAGCGAAGAAACTCTTTTCGACGAATTCATTCACTGAGCTGTACAGTCGCATTTATATATACTTTTGTTTGTGTATGTGTACATTCGATTTATAAAGTTTAGATAATTACGTAATATAAGTATTATTTAGCTTGGAAACAAACGTTAATTAGATAGAAAATAAAATAAAATTGATTAAGTAAGCTGGATGACGTAATACAATTTAGTAGAATTCAGAGTAGGTCAGGTTGGCAACAGTGTTAATGAGTGGTGGTTAAAATTAAATAAGGGTGGGGGTAGAGAATAATACAGTTGAAAATTAAGTAAGTTAATCGGATGACGTAATATAGTTGACTAGGAATTTATAATTTAGTTTGCACCAAACAAAGGACTAGACACATTACACTAGTTACCAGCTAATGTCCAAACAAAAGTATCTTTTAAGGCAGTCGCAGATACACCTTACTGGGTGTTGAGTGCCAGATTGCACGAAACCTAGATGGGAGACTTCCTATGGCCGATTGCCTCCAACCATTTTATACAGATTACATTAAAAAGACATTGGTCAGAAAAATATAATCTTTTCATAAATTCACTTGAAAGCTGATCTAGAAAACCAGAGAAATGACGATAAAGGTCATGTCGTGCCACATAATCTAAAACCATTAAGTGATGATTAACACCCAGAAGTGGTCACCATTATTATCGCGAGTTGATCATGGATTGATATCAGCTGGAGAACCATTGAAAACCAGCAACGGGGAGTACTGGGCAATTGTTTCATCCTAGTTTGGGAATCAAAGGCAGTGCGCATCCACCCCACTGTCAGGGTTCGAACCCAGGACCTTCTGGTTACAAGGCGAGCTAGCTCTTATATCATTCAGCCACTGGGACATGACTCAGTCTCCAGCACATGAATTCTAACTTCCACCACTTCGTGATTTACTGTGACTGGCACCAACCAATGTCGTCGGTGGAACATCTATCCTCACACTTGACTGGATAAACCTCACTGGTTACGACTTCTGACGAACTGGTAGAAATTAAAATTCATGAGCCATTAAATTGAGTCCCAGTAGATGAATGGTATACAAGCTAGCTTGCCTTGTAACCAGAAGGTCCTGGGTTCGAATCCTGACAGTGGGGTGGGTGCATACTGCCGATGATTCCCCGAAAACTAGGATGAAACAACTGTCAAGTACTCTCTGGTTTTCGATGGTTCTCTAACTGATATCAATTCTCCGTGATCAACTCGTAAAAACAAAACTAATCCTTACAAACCAACTATAGAAGGTTATCATTAATAATAAAACTCTAAGCTCATGGAAAGTGGAATAGTGTTCACAACAGTAAGAGATTCAGAATAGTGTACAAATTAAACTCTGATTTTAGGAGTTTGAAGGAAAAGAATAAGAGGAAATAAAGGGACCGATTGGATATAGATTACACACCAAATAATTGTACTGACCAAAAGAAGGAGAAGTTTAAGGAGACAAGAAAAATCCTGAAATATGTGAACGGAAGCAGTTTGTCCATGGGATTAAACTTTTCCTTTCCCTAACCCCAGTAATCGCCGTATGAACTATGCATTTGTCTCTATAAATCCACTAAAGTTGATATATTTGTGTAGTAGTGTCGACGACTGCCACCTGGTCTGCCATCAGAACCGTTAAAGTACCCTCTTGGTGATGTTGTAGATAAAAAGCGTTTGCGCATAATAGACTCCTGTTATAGCTTTGTCATGCCTTCATCGTGTACATTATCGCTTTTAACACTGATAGACTGAAGAATGCAGGCTATTTTGAAGCTATTAGGGCAGTCTTGATTGACACATGTGCCTTCAAAACACTTTATTTCAAATATCTTTTCATGTATGTATTTCGTCTTTGACTGTACTATCAAAACAAACTTTTCGTGCTCTATTGAACGCTATGCTGACTAGGTTCTTTTTATATTGAGTGAGAACAAATGTTTTAAAGTGTATATACTGTCCCTTCTATGAAGGATTTCTAAATGTTAATCATTTTACAACACCGCTAACTCTTTTCACTAGAAATACATCTGGTGATTAGTCGTTTTCTTGCTGAAGGTTATTCTGTAGGGCTTGTGACCGTTTCTTAGAAAGTTAAGCCATATATCTGTGAATCGTATTTGCAGACGTTAAGTCTACTGTGATTGGTTGTTGAGCTCCTCAAGGTCATTGCTTGTTATTGCTTTTTCTCATGACTTTTTCTCATGATTCGAGACGTAAACATTGACGTAAATTGCTGTCTACAATTTTGGCTTACAGGCAGCTCTCACCACAGTAGTACCGTTTACTTCATGCTTTATTGTAAATTTAAGATAAGGCTGACTTGAACTAAGTTTCGCCAAAATGTCACCAACACATCTTAGACGGGATTTTTTTCGTTGTGTAGACTATCTGAAAGTGTCAACTTCTAGACTGGATAAGAGCGATTCTATGGAAACAGGGGTCCCGGGAGGCTATCTACTGTAATGTCAACAAATTTACACAATAGCTAGCCACTGTATTAGACTGAACATCCATAGGACATAAGAGTTACAACTCCTTTGAGTGTATTGTTGAAACAGAAACCAGTGGGGAAGTAACATGAAACGACACATGTTGCTAACCGATTGTATTGGAGTCGGAAATATTACTGACAAACTGAAGGGAATTGGAGGCAGTGTGTGTGTAGAGTTTGTGAATGAGTAATTTCCGATAGCGTTCAAGTTGTTCCTCATGGATTCTCGCAAAGTAGGATTTTGTAGTTATCATGTTTGCAGTGGTAGGTGGGTACAATGACTTACAGCGTATCAAAATGCTCTTCAAGTCCGTTTATGCACAATTCACCACTATCGGTTAAATACAATAACGTATCTATTTCCTAATAACTGGATGTCACATGGGCTATGTTACATTTGCTTCAAAGACATTTTATCGTCTAACCATTACCCCTCTGAAATTGCAGATTTATTGATTATGCTTTAATATACTCTCTTTAGCTTCAAGCTGAATATAAAACACAGTCTTTGGATCTTGAGAAAGCTCAAGAACAAGCTTCTAGAGTACCATTACTGGAGAAAACAGTGAAACAGCAAGAAGATTTAATTTGTCGATTGGAAACATTCTTAGATCGTCAAAGAAGTGAGTCATTGGAATTATTTTCCAGTTAAAAGTTAAAATAATTAGTCCCTTTGACAAATTTGAATAAGGCACTTAGAAGACAAATTACGCAAGACGACATGGTCATTTCGTAGTTTCTTTACAATCTCTTTGCAACTAACATGGTTAACAATAATAAGATTCAGGACAATTACTCAGTTATATAAAAAACAAAAGTACATAATAATGACCAGTCATATTTAAATAGGTCAAGTAGTCCATGGTAGACGAAGGTTGAAGTCTATTGTTTTTTGTACACATAGTTTAGGATTTATGTGATTAATCCAAAGTGCTTCCATCACCTTCAATAACCAACCTTGAATTAGAGTTGTGTGATGAAATAATTGTGAAACAGCCATTAATACTGATTTTGTGACCTGATATTAGTAGGTGTTTTGCAATGGATGATGCTGGATTTCTATTCAGATTAATTGCATTGGGATTCTCTGTGTTTTAGTAACCATTTTGAAACATGTTCTTTTTGACGACATTGGAAAATTCTGTTGGTTCTACCTATATATGTGTCACCGCAACTGCAGGTGAACTTGTAGATACAGTTTGAAGTACAGTCCATAGAATTTCGTCCTTAAATCGTAGGTACAGGGATCGAAAATGTTCGGCATGTGAGAAAAAGAGATGCAGTGGTGGAGAATGTGCGTTTGATAGCTGACCGAGGGTGACCAGATTATGCAGTTGATAGCTCAAAGACTTCGGTAAAATCAAAGTAATCAAAAGAAATGAACACCGTAGAGCCAAATCTGTTTGATCACCAAAATTTCAGTTGAACTAGAAGAGCTTGACAAACCATCAGCCATAGCTCGTCTACACGCTATAGAATCAAGCCACAGAAGTGATTCTGACAATATTGAAATTATCTCGAAAAAGCATTTCAGAAATCACAAAGAACGTCTAGTATAATCAGAAGAGCTTCCTACCAAATGGAATCCAAATTGTCTGAACTGAATATGAATGATCGACTAAAACAGAATTTGACCTGCTTGCAAAACCCTCACCGGTACCTCATGAAATGACAAAATCAACACGAATGTGATAAGCAATATCATTATGTAACCACATGCTGCTTTTATAATTTTATACGCTGATCAAATCCAAAAATCTATACTTGGTTTTGTTATCTTTACCAATTGGCCAACTGGACAACGCAAAAATCACCATATACTGAGGAACGATGATCAAGTTATTATATATAGGCCGAGTGGATTTCGTAAATTCTGGCTTAATAATACTACTTCTTTGATAAAGCTATTAGCAGCAGCATTAAATGGCAAAACGTCAGTAAAACAACACGAATATCGTTTTGTTTTTCATTCATTGGGAAATACAAGAAAACATTTATTATAATGAATATCATGAAAACAATCCCTTATCATCAAATATCGACGACCTCCATCTCTACAAGAGATACATCGATGATACTTTCATTATTTATGATGAGAATTGTGATCTAAAAAACCTACTTCAAATCTTCAATGACGCTCACCCAAACATCGACTTTACACTTGAGGCTGAATCCGACGGAATGTTCCACTTCGTCGACGTTCATCTGACAAGAAACGCCAACAACTCTCTGAAAACGTCCCTATACAGAAAGCCTACATGAAATGCACAACTAATCAGCTTTTAAAGCTTCGTGCCCCTAAGCAGAAAGAGGATCCTGATATACGCTCTTTCCTTGAGGATTCGGAAGATATGCAGCGAGGAAGTGATTGACGGGGAACTGCGTAATCTCCAAAGAACTGTGATGGAAAACGGTTTTCCACCCAGGTTCATAGACAAGAATCTCAAAACAAAGAAGACTTCTGAACAAGTCCTATCCGTCCAAAGAAAATACTTCTGCCTATTTTAGAATTCAAAGGTCGCATTAAAGCAGAAATCCTTGGTAAACGCCTGTCCAAATCTCTGAGGAAAACATACTTCGCCACGAGCCTACGACTGACGTTTTCCTGCAAGAAACTGTTCAGCCAGAACGCGAAAGACAAGATGTCGCATTGGGGCACTTCAACTTGCGTATACCAGTTTACTTGCTCTTGTGGCGCTGAGTACATCGGCCGTACCATGCGCCAAGTTGAAAAACGCGCTCGTGAACACTATCCAGTGTGGCTAGTAAAAAGAGAACGAAAACGCGTATATAGTTCAGTGACAGAACATCTGGTCAATTCAGGACATTCAGCGCCATTCGAAAAATCCTTCAAAATAATATACAAGATTCGATCAAATGTATCAAAGGGAGTGAAATTAAGACATCTGGGCATAGCCGAAGCACTAGCCAACCAAAAGCTCAAAACCACGCTTTGTATTCAAAAGAAATACGTCTAAGCCTTGTCCCTGTCATGGTTATCATAAACAGGTAATTCTTTTAGTAATGACCATCCCATGGCTTTTCTTATCCAAACTTCCCGTTTATTCATGTTATTTTAATTTTTTCTTAATTCCTCCTATCCACACTACCATATTTTCATATCTGAACTTCGTGTCTGTTTTGTCATTTTGTTATTTCTACATATTTAATCCCTGACTGTATAAACAATTATTCGTCACATTAGTTATGATCCCACTTCATTTTTTATCCAATCATCCTGTCTATTTTGTTATTTCTACATTTCTAACCCCTAATTGCACAATATGTCAATCTTCTCAGTGATTATGATGCTATTTTGTTTGAGTTTTATCCGTCCCCCTGTTTATGATGTTATTTTAATTCCTGATTGTACTTTTATTAACTTGACCCTTGACCGGAAATTATTCTAAAACTTTCCCATCCATTTATTATAAATACACGAGTGTACAGCCTAGTTGATGGTGACTTCGTCGAGAAGAGAATGTTCTCCGTTGAAACCGTCTTTTTAATAATTCCTATGATCCAATGTGTATATTCCGTGAATATCATATACCTGATGCCCAAATTTTTTCAAACTGTTACAAGTGAACTTAATTTGGACATATATAACCAAGTAGATCATTGTTATATGCATTTTTATATAATTACGACAACGGCACATATCAAGTGATCCACAACAGAAAACTCATCGAGGCGTTTGGAGTAAACACAGGAGTCAGACAAGGGTGCTTATTATCACCAATGATATTCCTAATTGTGGTGGAATGAGTTATGCGTCAGACAGTGGGAAACGAGAAGACAGGGATATCCTGGACCGAACGACGTGAAGAACCTAGAAGACCTAGATTTCGCGGATGATGTATGTTTGATGTCACACAAAATCGAAGACTTACAAGCGAAAACCGACAAACTGGTATAAGAAACAGCAAAGACAGGACTCCAGGTGAACATAGACAAGACGGAGGTTATGAAAATTACCAACCAACCAACAACAAGAACAACAACAGCAACATTCATCGCCAATCACCATTAACGGGAGGGATTTGAAAGAGGTTACTTCATTCACTTATCTAGGGAGTATTGTCTCAACTACAGGAGGAACGGACGAGGATGTCAAATCGAGAATTGGGAAGGCGAGAAACACATTCATCAACCTGAAACCAATCTGGAAATCTTCCGCTGTCACTCAGCATCAACAACAAAATTCGGATTTTCAATACAAACGTCAAGTCAGTCAGTTCTTCTATACGGATCAGAAACGTGGCGGGTCACAAAGAATATTTCCAACAGCCTGTTGCAGACCTTCATCAACAAACAGCTGTCTTCGTTCTATATTGAAGATCAGATGGCCGGAAAGAATCACCAACAATAAACTATGGGAAGAAACAAAACAAGAACCAATCGCCATCCAACAAATATGCAGGAGAAAGAAGTGGAGATGGATTGGACACTCGCCGAGGAGGCCGTTGGGTGACATCGCGCGTCAAGCCATAGGTCGAGTGGAACCTGAAAGGGAAGCGGCGAGTGTGACATCCAAGGGTGACATGGAGGAGATCGTGTGAAGAGGAGTTGAAACAGCATGGACTAACATGGATGCAAGTGAAAAGTACAGCAGAAGAGAGAAGGATGTGGAGGCGTGCAGTTGAAGCCCTATGTTCCACTAGGAACCCAAGGGAACAATAATAATAATAATTCTTAAATATGACTAAACCAGACAGAGACATGGACTTTAGAATCTTCATTTATGCAATACACTGTCTGATCGACTGATATGTAAGCGACTGAAAAAATTTATTTCAGAGACAGACGGTATTTGGCACCAGGAAATAGTCAGGACTATTAAATAAAATGTAACTTTCATACTCAGTGTAATCGTTTCTTATATTTATGGAGTACTTAAGAGATGTGTATAGATTAGTTTCTATATTTCTACTTCTTATTACTTAGACAACGGAAACAGCTTGATTTCTTAGGAATTTTCCTTACTTGACTTAACAGCAAAAATCATGTACACATTTGAAGCAGGCAATCCAGATTAAGGCGCCATGGAAAAAATACTTTTTAAAATATTTCCTTCTCTAAACTTAAACTTTAATTAACTAGAAAAATGTTTAAATTCAGTGAAGAAATTTTCTTTATCGAGAAAAAATCATCTTCAAAGATTGTATGTACAGTCGTATTTATATTTACTAAAAATGTATAGTAGTCTATTATTGAGTAATACGGGGGTTGACATAATTGATATAATTACTCAGAAGTGGCTTTAGAAGTAAAAAGTAAAAGTTTTAAATTTTGTGGTACTCAATAGCACAAAGTTAGAAATTTGATAAGGTTTAAATTGCTATTGAGTGAGAAGAAAGGTGATAGTTGAGTGTCAATTTAACAAGTGTGAAGAGGGTGAGAAAATTTACAAAAGGAACATATGAGAGTGATAATAATGAATTATTCATTAAAGTAAAAGCAAACTAAAAGTAAAACTTAAAATTTAAAAAAAGAAGGTTAAGACCAAGGTAGAATAAGAGACTGGACAAAATTTTTCTGTATACAGAGGTTGGGGTTGTATTGATGAATTGCCAACGCCTTCGCCACACACAAAAGCCGAAATCTGACGCCCTTTGTACCATTTGTCCTCACCTTGTAGGTGATCTTGAAAGACGACTCTTGTGGAGCTGCGTGGCCTGAGTTCACCAAGAGCTCGAGAATTGAGCTAGTAGCTAACTGTCTTGTATTGTCCTTTTGCTAACCATGCCGGATAATGTTCAGAGATGCATTTGGAAAGTCTGCGCTTTGTGCAGGCGGCCAATATAACTAACTCCACATAAGCAGGTGGCCCGAATTGGCAGCAGTTTATCCTTCATACATCCATTGACCATTTGTTAGCTGTAGAAATTGTCAATTATACCACCCCTCGTATTACTCAATAATAGACTACTATACATTTTTGGTGAATATATTAATACGACTGTACATACAACCTCTGAAGATGATTTCGTCGATAAAGAAAATTTTCTTCGCTAGCGGAATTTGTCTTTTACTTTCTTCATGACTCCATGGGTATTTTCAGTGATGATATGTATATGACTTTACTGTTCAAAGAAGAGTCAGCTATTGAGTTACTGGCATCGAAACTCCGAAAAACAGTGACTAAAACATTCTTTGCCGCAACGCTATACTTCAAACTCGTCACTCGTTGTATAATTCCAATGCAGGTGAAGAATAAGCTTCTAAATCTGGCCACTTCAGCATGCATTTGTAAATTTACTCGTTGTTTTGGCGACACATACATAGATAAAACGACTCGGCGAGCCTACAATGGCCTTCTTCAGTAATATCAAACATGGTTAAGTAAAGGAATCGGAAAGTCAGTCAGGCGTCCCATATTGGCACAACTCCTTGTGAATACAAATCACAAGACTGATAAATATTTAAACTTTAAAAGTCTATACAAGGTAGCACACCTCAATTCCTTTGGTTTGTACGCCTTCGACTGCTAAAAAAGCTGGGGCAATTGACATAAAACAATTTCTGCTCAGTATGTGTGTGTGTTCAGAAGAAGTTTGTCTAATCCCTCCCCCTCATATAAGATTCATTTCCAACCTAAAATAGTTATGTATCCTGGTGAAACCGGATAACTGTACCAATAACTTTATTATCATTCCGATACTGTGCTACACTTGTATATTTGAATCTTAGTTTCCCGCTTTGTTTTTATGATTCTACTGACATTCTACTTGATTAGATTTGATCCTGTTGATCCGCATTGTTTCAAGTGTCTGTGACTAGTATTTTATGATGTCATTGTAAATCCTGATGAGGATTAACTGAAACTACGTGTCTGATTGCTTAAATCCTATTCTATAATGATCAGTTTACTGCTAAAAGTCAATAGCTTTGGAGTTGAAACCATTTCACATAATGTTCAGAATAGTAATGAGATGTTTTTGTCGCCCCCGCCAATGCATTTGCTTACTACGATAGATAGAATTCAGGGTGCACCAAACAAAGGACTAGACACACTACACTAGGTACTAACTAGTGTACAATCAAAAATATCCATTACAGTCAGTCCTACAGGAGGTCAATCGCGAGCCCGAATAGCCTTCACTGGTAAGGTCTCTGACTGGGTGACGCAGGTTTGAATCCCAGAAGGAACATGAGTTCCCTGAAGGTTGCAGGTACTTCTTGCTGACTGGCACGAAACTTAGAGAGTGTCCAAGGCTTTCTGTGGCCGATTGCTTCCAACCATCTAACACCAACAATTCACAGTGCACCGTGATGGCGAGCCACCTAGTGGCATGGTAGCCACATTGTAAACTTGACTGATAGAATTTAGTCTGCACCAAACACTAACTAGTGTCCAGTCAAAATGTTTTGACCATTTTAGACAATACGGAGAGGGATAATAACAGAAACCATGGAAATATTTTGGTTAGTTAATGATCATAACGGTAATTGTAATCCACCAATAGTTTACCTATGAATCAGTAAAACAGACAGTTTGAATTTCTAAAGTAAATATCCCTTGTTTTTAATTATACTGTCTGAAAACCAGCCTTAGTTTAGCAGACTGACACTGATGTAATGAGTAGCCAACAATAATGATAGCTGGGTACAATTGTAACGACAGAAGACAAGGGACAGGCAACAGATTGTTTATTGAGAAAATCAAGAGGTATTCATAGATTTATTGAATATTTTCAGTTCTTCATTATAATAAAGGTTTTTGTATTTCCCAATGAATGAAAAACAAAAAGGTATTGTTGTGTTTTACTGACGTTTCGCTAGTTAATACTGCTGCTAATAGCTTTATCAAAGTATTATTAAACCGGAATTTACAAAATCCACTCAGCTTACATATAACAAAGAGTTAAGAGGTGAGAAAATAGACAAGTTGGGTCAAGTTAAAGGGGACATATTGAAAGTCAAAATAACAATGAAGATCACTAAACCAAATAACAGAGGTAATAGTACATCTTTTATGGTATCAAAACAAAGTTTACTAACTTGATCATCGTTCGTCTGTCTGGGGTCATTTTTCGTTGTCAAGTTGGTCAACTGGAAAAGATAACAAAATCAAGTGTAGATTGTTGGATTTCATCAATGTATAAAACTATAAAAGCAGCGTGTGTTTACATAGTGAACTTGCTTATCACATTGATGTTGATTTTGTCATTTCATGGGAGAGGGGGAGAGGTGTTGTAACCAGGTCAGATTCTGTTTTAGTCCATCATTCCTATTCAGGCAATTTGGATTCCACTTGATATGAAGTACCTCTGATATTAGACGTTCTTTGTGATTTCTGAAGTTTTTCTAGATTATTTCAATATTGTCAAAATCAATTTTGTGGCCTGATTCTATAGGGTAGCGTGTAGACGAGCTATGGCTGATAACTTGTCAAGTTTTTATAGTTCAACCGGATTTCTTGGTGGTCGAACAGATGCTCTACGATGTTCATTTCCTCTCATTTTGATTTCTCGATATGTTTGTCCTATGTATATTGCATCACATTCCATTTTATTTTATAGACACAATTAGATAGAGAATCTTTAGGGATTTGGTCTTTTATATGGACAAGGTTGTTTCGTAGTGTGTCTGATGTTTTGAAGAAAACTCCAATGTCGAGCTGATTGAGTACTCTTCTGATATCATCTGACGTCTCTGCTCTATATGGAATGACGACTGTTGAGGTCCATGTTTTCAGAATGCGTTTTCGGCCCTACCTTATGTCTGTGTTGATTTTGTTGATGAAGTTCCATGGGTAGTTGTTTTACTTGAGAGTTTCAGTAATGTTTGATATTTCTTCTTCTTTTTCTTTCTCATCCGTTATGAATTGTGAGTCTACACAATTCATTCTTGGAGAAAATAGACTGTGTATCTCCCAGAATCCAGTTCACTTTAGAAGCAGAATCAGACGTCGGTGAACTACCATTTCTAGACTGCTTCGCTAGTTAAGAGGAGGGAGAATGGACATTTTAGTATATCCATATTCTGGAAGAAAACCCACTCCAACAAATATTTAGACTTCAGATCATCACACCCCATCGTCGCAAAGATTTCAGTTGTTTCAAGTCTTTTTAGACGAGCACACTCTCTGATAACGGATTTTGTAAATTCTGGTTTAATAATACTTTGATAAAGCTATTAGCAGCATTAACTAGCGAAACGTCAGTAAAACACAACAATATCGTTTTGTTTTTCATTCATTGGGAAATACAAAAACCTTTATTATAGTGAATATCATATACCCAACACCCAAACTTTTTCAAACCGTTAAAAGTGAACTTGGTTTGGATATATATAATTTTCAGTTTTTGTCTTTTTTTGTATTTAACTCATGGTTTCTTTGCCTTCCTAAACAGAACATGTGGTCAATGCAAACTTGTCCAATTATACATGTCCAATTATGAATCCATTGGACACTGAAGTCTTAGAGCCTATAGGGAATCATAAACCAATTGACAATTCACTTATACCTTCACAAAACGATGAATTGTCTACATCAACAGTGTTAAGAAATCTATCCAGCGAAAATGATGCATTACGTCGAACTGTAGCTGAATTGAATCGAACTGTACGTAACTTGGCTAGACAACAACAAGACAGTCATGATTATCAACAAAGTATTGAACAAAGATATCGTGAAGAGATTGACGCATTGAAAGAACAACAAAGTCGTTTACTGGAGGAAACATTACATAAGAATAGACGATTGGAACATATGGTAAGTGGATTGCTCTGATGGAATGGAATGCTGAGTTTGAGAGAGTTTTTGGAAAGCTTGTGACTGTGTGTTTTTGCGTGTGTAAGAATAGAACTTGTGCAGTGTGGTGGTAGAGTATAATTCCATTGTGGAGAAAATTTATTTTGATAAAGTCTTACAGAGTGTTGTGTAGTTATATTTATTGATGACCATGTTTCAAGCACACTTCATTTCCACTCATAATCACATCAAGTTTCTCACACAACTTTGCACTATTCCTCATCTCTTCATTTGATTGGTATTAGTATTTTCCATATTTACGGTATGAATGATGAGTCATTCCTATTCTACGTGTTGGATGTAGATTATTCGATGAACTAAGATTCAGTAATCAACGTCTCTCGCTCTCCACCTACCTATATTATTTTTTGGAATCTTAACCCTCTTCCACCCTATTGTGTGGTTGTGTGTTAATGCATGCAGTGCAGTGTGGTGCTGAGCTTTTTTAAAATTATTCATCTGTCTTCGCAGGGTCAACCATTGTAACTTTAGCCACTAAATTCTTATGTTCTAATAATCTTACTACTCTTGATCTAATACTGGTTTGTAGTATGTAGTTGACCTCACTCACAGTCATTGCAAGGTATTTTGTAAATTATATTATTTTGTCTAATTGGGTCAACTGGGTCCTTTAACCTACAGAGTTCATCCTGCCTGAGTGAGTTTGTAGGTTTGAATGCCACCCTAATTCCTGCTTTATTTAGAATCCTGCGTAGGGTCTCAGATATCCCCTCTTTATATAGTATATCTCTAGATGACTTAAATTCTCTCTTATTAATGTAATCATTACTAGTTTCACAATTATTTTTCTTTTTCTTTTGGTCTTTTCCAATCTTCCTAATGAATTTTAAAGGATAGTTATTTAACACCAACGCCTCTTCTATCTGTTTTATTGCGTCATTTAGGTCTTTTTTTGTGCCACTTAGTGCTACTGCTCGATTTGTTAGACACTTAATTAAGCCTGCCTTCACAGTTAGCGGATGAGATGAATTAAAGTCTAAATATCCATTAGAATGCGTTGGTTTTTTATAAACACTAGTGTGTAGTTTATCTTCTTCTATTCGTTTTATTTTACAATCTAACATAGCTAATTCTCCTTGCTCATTTTCGGTTTCAAATGTGAATTTTATTCCCTCTACTAGTGAGCTTTTACATATGTGAAGAAGCTTGAGAGAGATATGTTCCTTTTTAACACTGTGAGTGGAAGTGTCATCAAAATATCTCCACCATATTTTTGGAGTAGGATTAAATGTATTAAGGGCAATATTTTCCCAGCTGCGCATAAATATATCCACTACGATAGATGATATTGGTGATCCATGACATTGCTACACCTTCTGTTTGTCTTTATATTTTGCCTTGGAATTTAAAGGTAGTAGATGTAAGGCATAACTGAATTCCTAAAATAATTTCCTCACTAGGTAACTTCATCCTACGAGTAAGTTCAAGATCTGCAGTTTCTTCTCTTTTAACCGCTTCTAAGACCATGTTGATTGGTGTATTTGTACAAGGAGTAGTTACATCAACGCTAACCACTTTTTCAATATTCTGTAAATGAATGTCATTTAGTTGGAGGATTTCATCGTGGGCTGACATCGGTTGGAGAACCAGTGAAAAACCACCACTGGAGTACTAGATAGCCAGCTGTTTCGTCCTGGTTTAGGACCCTTCATCAGTAAGCACTCACCATATTGACAGGGTTTGGACCCAGGACTTTCTGGTTACAAGACGAGCTAGCTCATAAACCATTAAGCCACTGGTACCCGATCCAGTGACCAGGCAGCCCATGAATCACAACTTCTGCCAATTCACAACTAAGCACGACTGCTAGCCACTGCCTTCAGTGAGTATTTGTCCTCACACCTGACCTGCTTCACCACAAGAACCCAGGTAACTACCTACCTGAATAGGGCCAGTCACCAGTGAGCATCTAATTAATATTCAATTGAATTGGCAGAATTTAGAATTCATGGACTGGCCATTGGATTGGAGGGTCTCAGTGGAATGATGGTCTACAAGCTAGCTCGGCTTCTAACCAGAAGGTGCTGGTTTCGAACCCTGGCAATGGGGTGGGTGCGTACTGACGAAGAGTCCCAAACTAGGCTGCCGAGAAAGCTGGCTGTCCAGTACTCCCTGATGGTTTTCCAGTGGTTCTCTAACCGATATCAGCTCATGATGAACTCCTATAACCCAAAAACGTTTATAGGGGTATAAAATCTTATAGAATTTAAGTAATTTCCGGTTTTGCTTCCTACTAAGATCAGAGTTCTATTTGTTTCTGGGCGTTGTAGAGGATTTTTAACTGAGTATGATAGGTCTTAGCCATTAAGCTAAAATACTTAATGCATATACATACGATTTGATTATTTGTGAACCTCATTTTTCTCTTCGTTATTTTCTCCTACATTTATAGGAAAACGAGAATTTTCGGACAGCGATTGCAGATAATGAACGATTAGAATTGTACAAAATGTTGGATAATTCTGAGTTAAGAATTAAAGCATTAGAAGAAGAAGTGGGTTAAATATGAACTATCTTGTTTTAATTATTTATTTATCCTGAGTGACTGATTTCAACATAGAACTTGCTATATTCCATGTAGCCTACAAAGGGAAATAAAAAGAGAAAAGCAAGCACTTCAGAAGATCGATAGTAAGCAGAAATGTGAGGGAGAAGCAAGAGTAACACATGAAGATTAATAGTAGATCACTAAGAGTGATTGCATCTGCACTATTGAGAAGGACTATGAACCATTTCAGCAATTGTCTTCAGCCTTCATTGCTTCTTAGAATCCCGATGAACACAACAAGGAAGGCCGCACCACTTTGTATGGCTTAGTCTGACAGTCAAAGATTTCGTGACCATCAGTAGCCCTTTTCCAGCCTGATCCTACGTCAGTTAGCTAACAGTGCCTGCTGAGAAAGGCGATGGCTTCGCAACCTCATTGACCGATTTTCCCTCCTATCTAACACTCGACCTCAATATTACTCATCCTGTTATACTGGACAAGAACAACAACAACTGACAACGATCAGCATAAATGGGAGGAGCCTGAAAGAAACAACCTCCTTTACCTACCTGGGAAGCATCGTTTCAACTACAGGCGGACGGAACTGACGAGGATATCAAAGCAGGGAGGGTCGGGAAAGCAAGACAAGCTTTCACTACTCTCAAGTCTGTGTGGAGGTCAACAGCATTCAGCATCAAAAATAAGATCCAGATTTTCAACTCCAATGTGAAGTAAGTGCTACTTACTATACGGATCAGAGACTTGGCGCGTCATAAAGAGCACCTCAAACAAACAAACTACAGACCTTCATTGGCAGTTGTCTTCGCTCAATACTCAAGATCAGATGGCCGGCCAGAAAAGATCAGCAACAGAGATCTTTCGGAGCGAAGCAACCCAGCAGGAACCGATTGTCAAACAAATAGGCAGGAAGAAATGGAGATGGATTGGCCATACTCTGAGGAAACCATCAAGTGAGTGACATCACTAGACAAGCCATTGCTCGAGTGGAACCCGAAAAGGAAGCGGCGAGTTGGTCGTCAGTGCAAGGGTGACTTGGAGGAGGTCATGTGAAGAGGAGATGAAAACGTGTGGGCAGATTTGGAGCCAGGTGAAAACTCTAGCAGAGAACGAAACGCAATGGAGACGCACGGCTGAGGCCCTATGTTCCTCTAGGAATTAAAGGAAACATTATTAATATTATACCACCAGTTGTTTCTAACTTCTACATAAAGATTGTTGGGTGTATCATCAGTGAAACTCATGAGGATTGACGTCCTATTAGACACAGTCAGTCGGATCTGTGATGTTCATCCTGGTGGGAACTTAGGTCACTTAATTGGAAATAGAAGTGATGTCCCTAGCAGTTAGTAAATTAGACAGTGACATTCTTATCAATTAATCTCAATTTCGAAGTTAACTGGTACTTTGATTGGATACTAGTAACTAGTGTGATGTGTCTAGTCCTCCTATCTTTGGTGCAGACTGAATTCTATCAGTCAGGTTTGCAATGTGGCCACCATGCCGCACTAGGTAGCTCTCCAACATGTTGCACATTGATTTGATGATATAAGATGGTTGGAGGCAATCGGTCACAGCAAGCCTTGGACCTAGGTTTCGTGTTAGTTAGTACTCACCACTCAGAAAGTCGTATCTGCAACTACTTTGAAGGAACTCATATCCCTTCTGAGATTCGAACCTGAAACAAAGAAAGGAATAGACACGTCACACTAGTTACTAGTGTCCAATCAAAGTATCCAATACACTCCTACAGGAGATCAATCGCAGTCCCGAATACCTCAATGATAACGCCTCTGACTACAGCACTGGGTGACGAGGGCTCGAGTTTCAGAAGGGACATGCGTTCCTTCAATACGGTTGCGGATACGCCTGTCTTGCTGACTTGTGAGTGCCAGACAACTAACACGAAATCTAGGTCAACGGCTTGCTGCTGATTGCCTCCAATCACCTAATATCATCAGAAGTGAACTGGTGGATGGTGACTAGGATTGGAATCCAAGATGCAGATTTCGTCCTATTCGGGACTCGCCATCTGGGACCGTCACCTGAGACCGAGCACTTCGGTCCAGTCAGTCGACGGGAAAATATATAATTGAATTAAATAATTAGTATGACCCATTGCACAAGAGGGGGTGGCTCTTGTGGCCCAAGGGATCTAGTGGATTACACTTTGGCATTTGAAACTATGGTCACTGGGTTTGATCCTCGGTGGAGTGAACACCATCACTGGCTCATTGAGGAATGAAGGTTCACCCAGTGGCTGACGAGCCAGTCCCAAATAGGATGAAATGCGCGTTATCCTGGATTCCACTGCAAGTCACCATCTACCAGTTAACTTCTAATTACATGCCCAGACATCGTCTGTACAAGGAGGAACTGACATTTCAACCTGAGACCGACCTCTTTGGTTCAATCAGTAGACGGGAAAATCTAAAATTGAATTAAGTAATCTCAGTTACGCCAGATAATTTTATGGTCAGGACTAAATCATTGTGAAGGCTAAATGTTGCTTTGAAAAGATCTTTTGAAAAAATACTTGTAGTCGACCACTTCTGAAATCTTATGACGTAAGGGGTGACTTTATTGCCCAATGAGTTTTACTTCCAAACAAGCAGTAACTTACGGAGAAGAAATGTCGGGAGGTACTTTATACTGATGTCCCATTAGTAGTCCATACATACATCTGCGAAATATTCTCATATTGGGTCATAAAAAACGACATAAACAGCAAAGAAAATCCTCTTCTCGACGATTCCTTTTCATAAGCTGCTGTCCAATCGTATTCATATATTTAACAAAGAATTCATAAGACCAATCAGATCCTGGTGAAATTTGTCCTTGAAAAAGCGTTACGCAATGTAAGGTGTAGGTCTAGAATGGATGACTAATTGGAAATCAGAAAAAGTGGCAGAAGTTGGGATGACGTAATAGTTGTGAGAAAACGACTAATCAGTATGATTGTATAGAATGGATAGGAACTAGTGGAAAAGCGATAAACTGTTTTCATAAAATCTGTATGAAAGTGCGATGTTATCAGTAAACAGTGGTAGAGTTGTAATAAGGTAAGGATGATGAGATTAATAATAGCAATAATAATAATGATAATAATAGTGAACTTATACGGTGTGACCTACTGTCTTTCCACTAGTTCCTCTCCACTCTACGCGATTATACTGACTAGTCATTTTTACGTACTTCTGTCAACTTCTGTCCCCTTTTCTAATTTCCAATTAGCCACCCCTTCTAGACTGCACCTTACATTGCGTAATACGTTTTTCAAGTATTGGTTTTGTAGGGATTTTGTTTGATTGACTGGAGGATTTCATCATGAGCTGACATCAGTTACCTGGGATTCTGGTGGGAAGCCGTGACCATTAGGGTACAGCAGGTTGAAGGTGAAGACAGTTAATCATTGAAGAAGACATTGTGAAGGGATCGCGCTATGTCGTGCGTGAATTGGCAGAAGTAAGAATTCATGGAGTGGCTAGCGACTGGACTGTCGGGTCCCAGTGGATTAATGGTCTACCAGCTATCCCACCTTATAGTCAGAAGGTCTTGGGTTCGGACCCTGGAAATAGGGTGGGTGTGTACTGTGAGGAGTCCCAAATTAGGACGAAACGGCTGTCCAGTAGTCGAGTGGTGGTTTTCTAATGGTCCTCTAACTGATGTCAGCTCATCAGGAAATCCTCTAACTAATACGTTTTTGAAGACGAATTTTATCATTATCTGATTGGTTTTATGAATTCTTTAATAAATATAATTACGATTGTACAGAAGCTTATGAAAATGAATCGTCGAGAAGAGGATTTTCTTCGCTATTTATGTCCTTTTCATATGTACAAATATTTCAAGAATATTTCGAAATATACTTGTATTTGCCGAACTGCCAGTATAATAATTATAATTCTGTTTGAATCGTGTGCTGTGTATTTGTGCAACACATTTCGAACAAGCTGATCACACACAGACTTGTCATAGGAATGTGAATATATGAAATTAATAAAGAATTAAGAGGTGGGAAATAGAAATAGACTTAGTTAAGTCAAGTTAAAAGGATATATTGACGGTCAAAATATTATTGAAGATCATCAATGAATCAAAGAAGGGAGGTAATATAGTACACCTACCCTGGTCGGTATCGAAACAAAGTTTACCAAGGAATGTGATTTAGTGTGGTGATGACGAATTGTTGCTTTGAACGCATAAAAGTAGTATAGACTTCCTATTTTTAATATATTTGTGCGTTGAAGTTTCTGTAGCGACTTGGTTAAGTTTTGGGGGTGGAGTTGCTAGCACCACACCCCAACCCTCCCTCTTTATCCGGGCTTGGAACCGGCTAGAAAAATAGTGAGCTAGTAATCTTCGTCACTCAGCATCAACAACAAAATTCGGATTTTCAATACAAACGTCAAGTCAGTTTTGTTATACGGATCAGAAACTTGGCGAGTCACAAAGAATATTTCCAACAGCCTGTTCCAGACCTTTATCAACAGCTGTCTTCGTTCTATACGCAAGATCAGATGGCCGGAAAGAATCACCAACAAGAAGCTATGGGAACAAACAAAACAGGAACCAGTCGCCCAACAAATATGCAGGAGAAAGTGGAGATGGGTTGGACACTCGCTGAGGAGGCCACTAGGTGACATCGCGCGTCAGGCCCTCGAGTGGAAACCAAAATGGAAGCGGCGAGTGGGACGTCCAAGGGTGACATGGAGGAGATCGTGTGAAAAGGAGTTGAAACAGTAAGGATTAACATGGATGCAGGTGAAAAGTACAACAGAAGACAGAAACAAGTGGAGACGTGCAGTTTAAGCCCTATGTTCCACTAAGAACCCAAGGGAATAATAATAATAATAATAATTCAACTGACATTCAGCTTATTGTTATGTTGATGCCATTGAACTGTAATCCACTGAACCAAGTAAAACTAAGTTTACCGAGGAAGGTGATTTATTGTGGTGATGACGAATTGTTGCTTTGAATGCATAAAGTTGCTTTAAACTTCCTAATTGACAGCTAGGGCTTCCAAAAACTTGAGGATGCACCCTACCCCAAACACTTTTTATAGATAGGTTTAAAAGACGTGTGTAAAGACCAATTTTGTGTCCTGTCTCTTCTGTAATATGTTTCTCAAAAGAAGAGCTAGGTCATCGTCTGTTCTCACCATTATTGGGTTTTGAAGATTCTGTTTGTTTCTGGAGCCATTTAGGAATATGCTGTGAAGCCAGCTCTTACTTGCAGAGATCGATGAGTCCTCCCTATGTATGTATGTATGTAGACACGTACATTCAGAAGCAAATAGAATCTTCAAAACCCAATAATGGTGAGAACAGACGATGACCTAGCTCTTCTTTTGAGAAACATATTACAGAAGAGACAGGACACAAAATTGGTCTTTACACACGTCTTTTAAACCGATCTATAAAAAGTGTTTGGGGTAGGGTGCATCCTCAAGTTTTTGGAAGCCCTAGCTGTCAATTAGGAAGTTTAAAGCAACTTTATGCATTCAAAGCAACAATTCGTCATCACCACAATAAATCACCTTCCTCGGTAAACTTAGTTTTATTTGGTTTAGTGGTCTTCATTGTTATTTTAACCTTCAATATGTCCTTTTAACTTGACTTAACTAAGTCTATTTCTATTTCTCACCTCTTAAATCTTTATTAATTTCGCATATATACACATTCCTATGACAAGTCTGTGTGTGATCAGATTGTTAGAAATGTGTTGTGCGCAAATACACATTACACGCACGAATCAGACAAATTACGTCTTCTTATTGCTTTGTCTAACTAAATTCATAAAGGGAACTAATTGTTTTAAATAGTAATTCTATCTGATTTTTTTTAATTCATTCCATCACATGAAAATGTTTTCGCTCATAAGTACTTGTAAATCCCTTTTAGCTTCAACGTCAAAGAAATCCTAAATCACACTTGCATCGAGAACCTGCTTGGAAATACTCAGGTCCAGTGAGTTTTGAATAAAAATTAGTTATTGTAATATATATATACTTTTATTGTTACCATTTATGTACAAACTTTACTTGGCTTCTTTGAACAATATTCCTGATTTTTATTCAGCTAACTTCTAAACAGACTTATTCAAGTATTGATTATTAGGGATTTGATTGACTGGGTACAGGATTTAATCATGAGCTGATGTCGGTTAGAGAACCACTGGAGTATTGGACGGTCAGTTGTTTCGTCAGTCCAGTTTGGAACTCTTCATCAGCGAGCACCCACTCCATTGTCAGGGCTCGAACTCAAAACTTGCTAATTACAAGGCGAGCGAGCTAGCTCGTAGACCATTAGGCCACTAGAACCCGATCCATTGGCCTATGAATTCCATTACATAGACTTAGTTCAGGATATAAGATCCAGTGGAAGTAACGCTTTCTCTTAATAGCTGGAGAATATTTTGCTTATGTTGTTTATTGGGATGAGAAAACTAATCACTGCCTTTGATTACGCCAAGGATTTATCAGTTTGAATAAGTCAGTGGCCAACACCTGAAATCTGAGAATTTTCTGGTGATACATTCTAGCGATTGTGCTAGATATTTTGATAAACTCTACTGCCCACCTTCATGGATAAAATAGTATAAAATTCATTCCGTTATGGATAAGATTTTATTTTGATAAAATCACACAGTGTTGTATAGTTATATTAACTGATGACCACGTTTCGAGCACAAATTATTACCACTCATAATTATATCAAAGTACTTACACAACTTTTTCCTTCATTTATATACATGTGTGGAATTGACTAGATATTTAAATAAAAATCAATATGGGATAATGTACATTCAGAAATAATAATATGAGTGTTATCAATCAAGTACAATCAGATGGGAAATAAGACGAGTGTTTTTTATAGTCATAATAAGTAACTTGTTAGAATGTTATGATGTACGTGAATTGAAATAGAATACAATTTAAGATTATTTATTATCCTCCTCTGATTTGACTGACTGGGGGTAATAATATCTTCCATATTTCTGGTATTTGCGTTGAGTCATTTCTGTTGCATGTGTTTGGTGTAGACTCGATGAACCAAACAGGATTCAGTAATCAACCTGTCTCTCCACTTACTTTTATTACTTTTTAGAATTTGGACGCTGTCTCACCCTATTGTGTGGTTGTGTGTTGATGCATGCAGTGCAATTGCTGCTGAGCTTTTTTCTAAATTACTTACCTGTCTTCCCGCGGTCAAGTATTCTAACCCTAGCCACCTAATTCTTATGTTCTGACAATCTGACTACCCTCGACCTACTAGTTTGACCTATGTAGTTGACCTCACTCACAGTCATTGCAAGGTATTTTGTAATTGAGTCAACCTACAGGGTCCTTTAACCTACACAGCTTGTCCTACCTGAGTGAGTTTGTAGGTTTGAATGCCACCACCCTAATTCCTGCTTTGTTAAGAATCCTACGTACACGCAACAGAAATGACTCAATGCAAATACTAGCGATATGAAAGATATTGTTACCACCAGTCAAATCAAAAGAGGATAATAAATAATCTTAAATTGTATTCTATTTCAATTCACGTACATCATAACATTCTAACAAGTTACTTATTTTGACTATAAAAACATTCGTCTTATTTCCCATCTGATTGTATTTTATTGATAGCACTCATATTATTATTATTTCTGAATGTACATTATCCTATATTGATCTTTATTCAAATGTCTAATCATTAATTTCACTCATGTATATACATGAAGCAAGAAATTTGTGTGAGTAGTGCCTTAACATGATTATGAGTGGCAATAGTTTGTGCTCGAAACGTGGTCATTAGTAAATATTACTGTACAACACCGTGTGATTTATTAAAATAAAATCTTTTCCATAATGGAGTTATACTTTACCACAGTGCCCAAGTTTTATGCTTACATCCATTAAGGGTCTTTTATTTTCATCTTTACTAAACAAGTGACAGCAACAAACCCAAATGCACAGACTAATAAAAAATATACTTATTTAAGTGATTATGATAGTCGACATTATTTATAGAGTAGAGTAGTGCCGAAGCTTACTGGTATTCCTAAGCATTATTGTTTTGCGATTCTTGCTAGACTTTTCTTACCTTAAAATGAAGTATCTTTTGATTTCATCAATTAGTCACTGATCAGTTAGATTTAATTGTCAGAGGGAGCAATCAACGACGCTAATCTTAATGCTGATAAAATTTACCAGTAGTATGTAAAGAGGCCACAGGCAAAATGGATAGAGATGTCAAAGCCAGCCAGTCAGCCAGCTAGAATCGGAAAGGCGAGATACACCTTCATCAACCTGAAACCAGTTTGGAAATCTTCTGCTCCACTCACTCAGGCAGCCAGCTAGCATGAAGAACAAGATTCGGATTCTGTTGAACATAAATGTCAAGTTAGAGATTTGGCCAGCGTGTCACGATAAGGATTTCCAACAAGTTACAGACTTTTATCAATAGCTGCCCACTTCGCCAGCTCTATACTGAAGATCAAATGACTGGCTGGCCAGAGAGAAACTCTGGCGATGAACAGCCGATCGTTCAACAAATATGTAGGAGAAAATGGAGATGGATTGATCGGGTATACGCCACTGAGAAGGCCGTCGAATGACGCCGCGTCATTGGCTGAGTGTAATCCCAATGGGAATAGATGAGTGGGTCAATCGAGAGTGACATGGAAGAGATGAGAGATTATGGGCAATCGTGTGTCCAACCACCTGCAGAAGACAGTAGCAAATAGGAGAAAGTGGAGATGTGTTTTTAAAGCCCTGTTCCATTCTGAACCCAAGAGAATGATAGTAATGTAAAGACTTGATCTCAACCAGAGCAAATGACTCAGTGTTGCGGGTCAAAAAATGGGCGATACTAAAAGAAGACATAAAAAGCGAACTGTGAAGGGCAAAAGTAGTACAACACAGAATGTGTAAATGACGATTTGGAGTTAGGGTGTGCTTAATTTCGCCATAATATCGCCAATGATTTTCCTGATTACGGGCGGTAGACTGTATAATGCGACAGATAGCGGGCTGGGCAACTAGGAAACAGGCATAAAATGGACTCACACAAATAACTTGGAGGATATGAACTTCGCCGATGATATATGTCTGATTTCACACAGACTGGAAGATATGCAAGCGAAAAGCAAAAAGTTGGCAGAAGAAGCATCCAGAGAAGATAGGGCTTCAGGTGAACATAGAGAAAACAGAGGTGATGAAGATTCCTGGCCAACAGCAACAACAACAACAGACAACAGTCAGCATAAATGGAAGAAATTTGAAAGAAGCAACCTTCTTCACCTACCTACCTCCGTACCTGGGAAGCATCGTTTCAACTACAGGCGGACGGAACTGATGAGGATATCAAAGCAGGGAGGGTCGGGAAAGTAAGACAAGCTTTCATTACTCTCAAGTCAATGTGGAGGTCAACAGCACTCAGCATCAAAAATAAGATCCTGATTTTCAACTCCAATGTGAAGTCAGTCAGTGCTACTATACGGATCAGAGACTTGCACTGCGCGTCACAAAGAGCATCTCCAACAAACTACAGACCTTCATTAACAGTTGTCTTCGCTCAATACTACTCAGGATTAGATGGCCAGAAAAGATCAGCAACAGAGATCTCTGGCAATGAGTGAACCAACTCAGCAGGAACCGATTGTGAAACAAATATGCAGGAAGAAATGGAGATGGATTGGCCATACTCTGAGGAAACCATCAAGTGACATCACTAGACAAGCCATTGCTCGAGTGGAACCCGAAAGGGAAGCGGCGAGTTGGTCGTCATGTGAAGAGGAGATGAAAACGTGTGGGCAGACTTGGAGTCAGGTGAAAACTCTAGCAGAGAACCGAACTCAGTGGAGACGTGCACGGCTGAAGCCCTATGTTCCTCTAGGAATTAAAGGAAACAATAATAATAACATAATAATTTCGCCATACATAAAAACCGAATTGCAAATAAACCTTCCTGCTGCTGAATGCAGTTGTTGCGCAGTGAAGAAAAATGAAAACTAAATTCAAATATGAAACACAATTAGGTCAGCTTTGTGGCATAACCATCAATATAACCTGGTATTTTACGATTCATCTTGCGTTGACAAACTTCCCAACTAGTAGATTTGTGAGCCTACTACTCTTATCACTCACTACTCTCAGGGACAACCACACACAACCCAGTACCACTGATAGGAGATGCAAAGAAGAAAGGAAGAAGACAGGACGTGAACTTAATTCCATAATGGATAAGATTTTATTTTGATAAATCACACAGTGTAGTACAGTTATATTAACTGATGACGTTTCGAGCACAAAACTATTGCTCATAATCATATCATGAGCAATAGTTTGTGCTCGAAACGTCATCAGTTAATATAACTGTACTACACTGTGTGATTTATCAAAATAAAATCTTATCCATTATGGAATTATACTCTACCATAGTGCCCAAGTTTTATACTTATATCAAGGACATGAACTTACCTAGCTTTTACCATCTTGGAATTACACCAACGTATACTCGACAGCAGTTCCATAAAACATAAAGGCTAAAACAACCTTTATTTAAATAGTAAGGGTTCAGAAGTCATAAATTTGATGAAAATGTAAACATTAGTTTACTGTGTAAATAATATTTGGGAAAAATTAGGTGTATATAACACCTCCCTAGCTATTACGTGGAACAAATAGAGTCTTATTTCAAAGATGCTTAGTTAGTCGAACAACAATATTCTCAAGAAGGGCTTTATTTACATAAATTTGATATAAGAATAGAACTTGTCCACTATGGTGGTAGAGTACAATTCCATTGTGGATAAGATTTTATTTTGACAAAGTCTCACAGAGTGTTATACAGTAAAATTTTTGCTGATGACTACGTTTCCAGCACAATTTATTACTACTGCTCACCATGATGTCAAGTTACTCATAGAACTTTCCAACTTCATTTATTTTCTGTAGTTTTTGGTTTGTAAGGATTAG